TTATTTTCAATGTTTGGGAACTTTCAAACTTTTATTTGATTTCACTTTATTTATTTATTTATTTATTTACTTTTTGAAATGAAGTCTTGCTCTGTCGCCCAGGCTGGAGTACAGTGGCATAGTCTTGGCTCACTGCAACCTCCGCCTCCTGGGTTCAAGCGATTCTCCTGCCTCTGCCTCTCAAGTAGCTGGGATTACAGGTGCCTGCCTCCACGCCGAGCTAATTTTTGTATTTTTAGTAGAGATAAGGTTTCGCCACGTTTGCCAGGCTGATCTCGAACTCCTGACCTCAGGTGATCAGCCCACCTTGGCCTCCCAAAGTGCTGGGATTACATGCGTGAGCCACCGTGCCCATCCCAAAGAGCCTTTTAAAGAAGGAACCCTTACTCATCAAATCAGCAGTGACTCCACTCATGCTTCCCTTCCTTTTAACCATCTAGGTGACATTTAAGGAACATCGTCATTTCCTGTAGACAAGCATCAAACCCAGTTTCTTATCTGCAGTTTATCAGTTATCTAGCCCTGTGTATATCAATCAACTTTTCAAAATAAAAACCACCTCACACTTTCCCTGCCGGAAGACATGTCTGTGGATATAGATGCCACATTATTTTATTTCTGCTGTTTTTTTCTCCTCCTCCCTCCTCCTCTTCCTTCTTCCCCTTCTTCCTCCTCTTCCTCCTTCTTCCTTCTTCTTTTTGCTTCTTTTTCTCTTTCTTTTGCTTTCTCTTTCTCCTTCCTTCCCTTCCCTTCTCTTTCCTTCCTTCCTTCCTTCTTTCCCTCCCTGCCTCCCTCCCTCCTTCCTTCCTTCCTTCCTTCCTTCACTTTCTCTCTCTCTCTCGTCTCCTCCCTCTCCCTCTCCTTCTTCTTCTTTTAAAGTTCTCTCTGCTCAGCATGTTAGCCAAATTTCTGGCAGGGAGTTTTCTTCCTCTCCTTCCACCAGGGGTGCAGATTTTGAGTTTTCATTCTCAGTAGCCTCTTGAAGGAAATCATTCTTGCCCATTTCCCTTCCTCCCACACACCTATGTTTGTGCATGTGGGAATGCTTGGTGTGGAAATCAGGAAGTGATTTATTGCCAATAAAATGGCTTCTATCACTACTATAAATAATAACTTAAGCATAGTTAAGCATACAGTTGCCAGTCACCTACTTTTTGTTGAAGAACTGAACAGCTTGAGTATATTTGAAACAGCGAAGTTCTTTCTAATTTAGCAGAAAATAAGAAAAAATACAAGGCCATAACTTTGCAGTGTTTATAATTTTCCAAAACTGCCTTGCCTTTTATTTAAATAATTATGTAGTGATTCGTGGCATCCTTATTACAAATAATCACATTTCGAGAATATCTCTTTTGCGAAGTTTCCAGATTGCTATTTGTTTCATATGGATGTGATTCAGTAACAAAAGAAAATATGTAGCTATAGTTTACCCTAATTCTGAGTAATGAAGTTTCTGTGCAGCACTCAGTATCACAGATGATATTAACTCTTTTTCATTAAACATTTCTATATTTTATAATATCACTTGTATTGTTGAGAGCTTTTATTTTTAAAAACCTTAAAATGTTTCTTATTCATCCAACTTACTCTAATCAGCTCCCTCTAACAGGCACTGTTACCATTTAAAAAAATTCATTGTAGCATGTTCTCACTTACATGTGGGAGCCCCCCAAAAATTTGAGCTAATGAAAGTAGAAAGTAGGATTGGGGGTATTAGAGGTTGGGAAGGGCAAGGGGGAGGGAAGGATGGGGACAGGTTGGTTAACAGATATAAAATTACAGCTAGATAGGAGAAATGAGTTCTGGTGTTCTATAGCACTGGAGGGTGAATGTGGTTAACTATAATTTATTGTATATTCTCATAAAGCCAAGGCTGGGTGCAGTGGCTCACGCTTGTAATCACAGCACTTTGGGAGGCTGAGGTGGGTGGATCACCTGAGGTCAGGAGTTCGAGACCAGCCTGACCAACATGGTGAAACCCCATCTCTACTAAAAATACAAAAATTACCTGGGCATGGTGACACGTGCCTGTAATCCCAGCTACTTGAGAGGCAGAGGCAGGAAAATGGCTTGAACCCGGGAGGCGGAGGTTGCAGTGAGCCGAGATCACACCATTGCACTCCAGCCTGAGCGACAAGAATGAAACTCCATTTCAAAAAAAAAAAAAAAAGAGCTAGAAGAGAGAATTCTAAATGTTTGCAACACAGAGAAATGATAAATGTTTGAGGTGATGGATATGCTAATTACCCTGATTTGGTGAGTACTCATTGTATATATGTATAGAAATACTACTCTGTAACCCAAAAATATGTACAATTATTATATGTCAACTAAAAAGAAAAAGAAAAAAAAAGATGGTTGAGAGGCACAGAGCGAGTCCTAATGTTTTACCCTATGGTGTGAGCAGGATTTAGAACAAAGACCGTAAGATGGGTGTGTTTGGAACTCTGCACTGTGCAGTTCTGGGTTTTACAGTTATGAGTGGGGACACAGAGGCACTTTGCATATGATGAAACTCAAAACAGGTTCCTCTTTTGCCACAGAATACACTAAGCTTTGAGGGTGGTAGTGGTTGGGTGGGTGCGTGGAAGGGGACTGGATTGCATGGGACAGCAACAGAGGCCTGCCAGACATAGCTGCCTCTTGCTTCTTACATGTGAAACTTAGAATAGTTTACAAATAACTTTGATCTTTGAAGATCTTTTCCACTTTCTTTAAGTCAGTAGTTCTTGACCAGGGGATGGGACAAACATCATATGAACCTGGGAAAATGTTCATACTCCAGTTAGATGCCTGGCCCAGTGTAGACCTGGTAAATCACATCTCTTGGCCAGTGCCTGTGGATTTTGGAAAATCTCCTCTAGAAATTCAGATTTGCACAATCATTTGAAAACAAAAGCCCTAAATTGGTAAGTTAATATTCCTTTTGTTATGCAGGGGCTCCAAGATACTCTTAACAAATCAGAAACTGTTCCTGAGTTGGGACTTGAGGATGGATATTTGACTTATGACTCTTTCTCACTTAGCTATTTTCTAGAGGGTGGAGAACAGACATAAATTACAAAAAGCATACAAACCCCAACTAAGAAACCCTGATGTGGAGGACACCTAAGGCCCCTGGGACTTTCCTGTAGGAAAACACATCGTTGCCAGTTAGGGATTCTCTACCAGATGACGTAGTGTCAGTATTGCCATTAGCTGGTCCAACAGGGAAGCTTAAATACTGATGTCAATGAAGCAGGAAAACCCAAATTAAAGCATTCTGCTCTCCCAGTAAAAAATTAGACAGGAAAGCAGATTACTGTGTATCAGTGTCTTAACAACTGTTGAGTCCTTGCACTGTGTTTTGCACCCAATATACATACAACAACATAGTTTAGATTTTTGTTGAATAGATGTAGTCTTTCTAAGGTATACCTTTCATTTACCCTTCAGCATCTATTTTGATACTTAAAATCTAAAAAGAGTGTTTCTTGAAATGGTATCTTTCTTGCTTATAAAAATCAGTTACTCTAAAACTTTATTCAGTATTAATTATTCATTAAGATGACTTTAGTCTGTTTTAAGTGTCAAGGTGGGAGAGAAGTTATTTGATACCTGAGAGAACACCACCGATTAATCTAGTGACAAAAATACACATTTTCTTTGTTGTTCCTCCTTCTATGTGCTTTGAACTCCCAGGATGGACAAGGGTACACTGACAATCAGTTGTTTAACTCAAAAGGATTAACACCACTTAGGAAGGAAATTCTAAATATTAAAATCATGACTGAAAATACTCTGACCATCTTTTTTGTTTTTTGTTTTTTGTTCTGAGATGGAGTCTTGCTCTATCGCCCAGGCTGGAGTACAGTGGGGCCATCTCAGTTCACTGAAACCTCTGTCTCCTGAGTTCAAGCGATTCTCCTGCCTCAGCCTCTCAAGTAGTTGGGATTACAGGTCTGCATCACCATGCCCAGCTTTTTTTGCTTGTTTTGTTTTGTTTTTTGAGACGGAGTTTCGCTCTCGTTGCCCAGGCTAGAGTGCAATGGCGTGATCTCAGCTCACTGCAACCTCCACCTCCCGGGTTCAAGGGATTCTCCTGCCTGTCTCCCGAGTAGCTGGGATTACAGGCATGTGCTACCACGCACTGCTAATTTTGTATTTTTAGTAGAGACGGGGTTTCTTCATGTTGGTCAGGCTGGTCTCGAACTCCCGATCTCAGGTAATCTGCCCTCCTTGGCCTCCCAAAGTGCTGAGATTACAGGCGTAAGCCACTGCGTCTAGCTCTGACCATCTTGTAATGAGAGTTTTTACGTTCATGTCACCAAAAACTATCCATTTCACCCCATTTTGTAAACCTCTATTCCCAAATCCATACTATTCCAGATTATAAAAAAAGATAGATTTATAACAATTAAATACTGAAGCAAAGATTCCTTAGGTAGCTACTTTCCCCCAAATTATTTGAAACAAAGAACATTGGGTCTGGTCATTTCTTTTGTAACTGAATAACTGGAGGGCCATTATCCTCCCAAATACTTTTTTAAAAGCATTACTTAGGCAGACAACTGCAAGTGCTTAAAAAGTATTACTGAAGTATATTGAGTAAATATTATACGGATATGAAAGTATTTTCATAGTCCAGATATGAATATATAATTAGAGCATTATTTAGGAATGTGAGAGAAAAGTATGTGGAAGCTCTGAAATCTGTAACTACACATTAACTACAGAGCAACAATTGAAAAGGAACTGCTTTTAGGTTACAGTTCTTCAAGTCACTTCTTAATATACTTACAATGCAAGTCTTGAATTCAGAACTCTGTTTTATTTTTTTTCATGACAGGGAGAAAAACCTAAAGTTGAGCTATAAGTCTAACATCTTCTGCTCATACTGGGCTCACTATCAGTTCCTACATAAAGGTAAAAACAGTTTCCCCTTGTTAATAAATCATGCACAAAAATAATATAGTATTAGCATTTTTGTTTTCCTTAGAAGTAACCAGGTTACCATTAATAGCCTCATTAAGTTTGTTTCATCCCTTCTTTTATTTTGCCCGTCTCAGTGTTTAATTGTGGCAGGGCCTCACGCACACGTGCATACACACATGCACTCAGGCTTCAGATCTTGTTGAAAGCTGCATGTCGACACTCTGCACACGCTCTTCAAACTTGGTGATCTCCTCCTCCCCCAAGTCTGTCTCCACCTTGTCCTCCACCACACACTGAATCTGCAGCTTCCAGATACCGTAGCCCACGGGCACCAGCTGGGAGGCCTCCCACACCAGCCCGTCCAGTTGGATGAAGCGCACACAGGCCTCCAAGTGGGCCATGGCCGTCTCACCGTCCCAAGGCTTGATGTCCAGCAGGATGGAGGACCTGGCCACCAGCGCGGGCTTCTTGACCTTCTTCTCTGCCTGCTGCTGCAGCCGCTCCTTCCGCAGCTGTGCTGCCTCACTGTCGCTGCCAAACAGGTCAGTGTCATCGTCCTCGTCATCCTCTGCTGCTGTGGCTGGCTTCTGGGCCGGGGACTCCGCTTGGCGCATGGGAGACACGTGCTGGGTCTGCGGGGCTGTGGCCTGGTGGCCGGGCAAGCTCTTCTCCAGCACGTTCAGCCGGGCCTCTCTGGTTCTCCACTTCCAGACTGGCAATCCGGAGGATGAGCTCACTGTGGTCTCCACTGGGGCTGCTAGACGCCCCAGGGCCTGAGCTTCTGGCCAGGGATTTCGGGATGTTCTCTCTGGCTCTGGCAGTATCAGGAGGATCACGCTGGCACCGTTCTCCTGGCGGGAAGCACCGGCCACAGGCCCGTTCATCTGTTCGTAGAATCTCCTTTCTGCAACGTCATGTTTGAACTTATCGAACCAGATCTTCTCACGTACTAGGAAGTTTATAGCCATTTTTCTGATGCCAGCCAAGGACGCAGCAACCAGGGAGGAGGAATCGGGGGACACGGGACGCCTAAGGAACGGGGGTGTTTTCGTCCTTTTTTAGAAAACAAAGCAAAACAAAAACAAAAACTCCATCCTCATTAATAAACTTGTCGAATAAATAAATGTTACGTATTTATTGTAAATAAATTTTATGTATTTATTGTAAGTAAATTTTATGTATTTATTGTAAATAAATTTTACATATTTATTGTAAGTAAATTTTATGTATTTATTATAAATAAATTTTACGTATTTATTGTAATAAAAAGTAAACAAGCTATCTCAGTTTTTGTTACATCAGCATTTTTAAACAGGAAAGGCCATATATATCAAATTTTAAATAAAAATGTGTTGATATTTAAAGGCTTTAAAATTAAATCTCATTATTTAAGTAAATTACTTTCAAGTGGTGAACTCATTTACAATATTACATATAAGCAGTTTTTTTAAAAAAAAATCAGAAGTTCATTCCAAGATTTTGTTAAAGAAAAGTTGAAGGGCTAAATTTCCAAAAGCAAAGTTTTAAACAAACAAAATTAGGTAGAGACATTCAACACAGTAAAGCTACCAGTAAGTTTATTAAACACAGACATTGATGTTTCTAATATTGTACAATTTTCAGAGGCCTCACGTGACAAAACCCTTAAGTTTAATGATTCACTTTGAGGAAATACATCTATACTGACTACAAAGAAGGGTTTCTATGTCATCCTTTTTAATGAGAAAGTTAAAATGAATGGGTGTTTAGCAGTGTCTCATTATACAGAATTTACATTAGCAGAGGGTCTGATTAGCAACTTTAGATAACTTTCCAACCATGAAGAGTTGCAAAAGGGTTCCAATTGCATCTACCACCCACACATTCAAAGAAAAAGTACTAATTATGAAAAACAAAACCTTTAATGCCACCAAGGAATAAGAATAGTACAGTCAACCTCATCTGTATATCATTTTGTAGTTATGCATTATCTCATTTGGGTTTAAGACAGCTGGTGAAACTTGTGTTTGCATTCCCATTTCACAGATGATGAAACAGGTTCTGAGAGGGCCAGTGGCTTATCCCAGATTACACGTTTAGTAAGATGGGGGATCAGAACTTGAAACCAATTGTGAAGCAGATACTGACTCTGTGAAATCCCTGAGCTGAAGTCCTTTCATGAGAGGAAGTGTTCAAACTCTTGTCTCTGAGGCTCCCTTGACTTTGGCCCTGAGCAAGGCCTGCCTGAGAAGCAGTTATTTAAGGAAGTTGTGTGACCAGATGGGCAGGGGTGTGGCCAGTGGAGTGGCTGTGATACACTTCTTGCACGTCGTGTCTTCCACCTTGCCTGATGACTTCACCAGCTATTAAGCACCTAACCCTGTAGTAAGTGCTGTGGGGAATACCACCGTGTAGGAAAACATGGTTCCTGTCCTCACAAACTGTAACCACTGAGCCCATTCGCAACCTAAGGCCACTGAACACAATCTCAGGAGACACTCTTTTCACAGCACATGTTTATGGATGCCCCGATCATAAGTTCTGCATGTCTCCTGAAGGCACCACTGAAATGTCATCAAACGTACCTGTCTGCAGGCTGCCAGAATGATAGAATTCTTTTTTTTTTTTTTAAATTATAACTTTAAGTTCTAGGGTACATGTGCACAATGTGCAAGCACATGTTTATGGATGCCCCGATCATAAGTTCTGCATGTCTCCTGAAGGCACCACTGAAATGTCATCAAACGTACCTGTCTGCAGGCTGCCAGAATGATAGAATTCTTTTTTTTTTTTTTTAAATTATACTTTAAGTTCTAGGGTACATGTGCACAATGTGCAGTTACATATGTATACATGTGCCAGGTTGGTGTGCTGCACCCATTAACTCGTCATTTACATTAGGTGTATCTCCTAATGCTATCCCTCCCCTCTCCCCCCACCCCATGACAGGCCCCGATGTGTGGTGTTCCCCTTCCTGTGTCCAAGTGTTCTCATTGTTCAATTCCCAACTATGAGTGAGAACATGCGGTGTTTGGTTTTCTGTCCTTGCGATAGTTTGCTCAGAATGATGGTTTCCAGCTGCATCCATGTCCCTACAAAGGACATGAATTCATCCTTTTTTATGGCTGCATAGTATTCCATGGTGTACATGTGCCATGTTTTCTTAATCCCATCTGTCATTGATGGACATTTGGGTTGGTTCTAAGTCTTTGCTATTGTGAATAGTACCACAATAAACATACGTGTGCATGTGTCTTTATAGCAGCATGATTTATAATCCTTTGGGTATATACCCAGTAACAGGATGGCTGGGTCAAATGGTATTTCTAGTTCTAGATCCTTGAGGAATCGCCACACTGTCTAGAATGACAGAATTCTAACAGAGAACATAACACTTAAGGAGACATGCCAAATCACAGAGTGCCTTCACTGTGCCTGTGATGAGGAAGCTCTGAGGAGGGAACCCAGACCAGACCCCAATCTCTACAGCTCTTTGACAGAGTCCGTTCACCCAAAGGAAGGCCAGAAAGCATCTAGTCACCATTGTTCCTATGACTACCTTGTGTTTCCAATAAAAACCTACATGCAGGAAGAAAACAAAGACAGCAGTCTAACTTTAGAAATGCTCAAAATTCACTTAACTATAAAAATAAAATAATTTTAAGTAAAGTTTTTAGATTGTGGATTTTGAGAAAAAAACAACTTGTGTTTGGAATAGAATTTTGACTTAAAAATGAGAAGCAACGTTAGCCTACATGCTGCTGTTCCTGCCATGTGAGTCCTGGCTGGGGCCCTCTTCTCCTCTTGGCCACGAACAGTCCTCATCACACTTGTCCTCTGACTAAGCAACAAGGAAGTACCTGGAACCGCCTGTTTCCTCCAAGCAGATGGTTCCTTGCTTTTCACAACAGATGACTGTAAAATCAGTATGATATTATAAGAACTAGCTGATTAAACACCCCAACGTGTTGGCTTAAGAGTGCTGAATGAACAACCCATCACACCTGGTACCTGAGTCCCCCTTTTTCCAGGTGCAAGGTGAGATGCTCATTTTAATCTGACGTGTCTGTGGGCATGGTGCGTGTCAGGACCACTTTTCTCTCTCTCTTTTGCTTCCTTAAACCAAGCTAGGCCCACTGCTGTGAACTCAGCTGCTGGAGTTCTTTCAGAAGGAGCGTGAGACCAGGCTGCCTGTTTCCTACAGAGGCCTAGACTCTTAAGGCCTGGTCTCTTAAGACCCAAGACCATAGAACCTCAGCCGAATAACACACACTAACATTCTATTGTTGAGGCTTTTTTAATGGAAGACAAAATGTTAGTTTTTGATGTTTTTATATAAATATGACTTAAAAATATATTGATTTCTTCTTTTGAGATTTGTTGCTGTGACCATGAGGGTCATTCATTCCTTTACTCTGGAGATATTTATTGAGAGGTGCAATATGCAAGGTACTCTGCTAGGAAAATTCTTTCCCATCAGCCTAAACCAGAAACTGTCTGGTTTTCTGCTCTCTTTCCAAGGCCCAGAACCATTCCCAGCATATAGTAGAATCCTAACAATGAATGAATGACACACTAAGATAAGCCATACCTGCATTTTCCCCCCACTAGGAGTTCAGATGGTTATAAAAATCAGTATAAAGGCCTTTCCCTTTGGCAATCTCTGTCTATCAACTAATTCTTTCTTGGAGCCAGAATCAGATAGGCTCCATGGAGTTGACACGGCTTCACAGCAAATCAGTTAATTAACCACTAGATATTGATAGGACACCTACTTTGTGCAATTTCCCCCCTCCTAGACAAATGAGCCACGCAAGGAAGTAACCAAGATAATCTCTGTTTTCAGAGAGTTTCCACACAAACATAAAGTTACTATAATGCAGCCCCGAGGCCAAGGAGGTGGCATCAAGGAGAACTAAAGGAGGTCAGAGGAAGAAGATGAAAGCCTAGGATTTGGCCTTTAACTAGGCGAAGAATGGAAGAAAAGGCCTAACAGAAATGCAGGGCGTGTGTGTGTAGTGTGCGTTTGTATGTGGGGAGGTGAGGGAGAATGCCATGGACAGAGTCTGGGAGAAGCCAGAGCACACAAGGTACACCAAGAGTTAACTCCATTCAGTGTGATTTGAGTCACCTGAATAAATATTTATTGAATGCACACTGTGTGCCTGGCATTGTGATAGGTAAACAATGGTTAACAAGACTGATACGGTTCCTGGGTCACTGGCAAGTGGGAGATACAGAGAAGTAAACGGACAATGACAATATAGTGTGATAAGTGCTATGACAGGGAAAAGTACAGGTGTTAGAATGATGTAGAAAGGACCCAACCCAAACACTGGAGTCAAGAAAACTTCCTGGAAGAGGGGATCTCAAGCTGACCCCCAAAGCCAAGGTAGAAACTGGTTGGGTGAAACTGTTCAGGTAGAGTGTACAGTACTTACCCTAGAATTGCAAACGTGAAGGACCATGGGGATCTGAAAGTGGCTAAGTTTGTTGGAACACAAGCGGAAGGAGGGCTAGAAAAGAGGCTGGGGATGGAAGCAGTGGCCAGAATTTGCATCTCTTGTACTTCAAATTAAAGAGTTTGGACTTCATCCTAAGGGCAGTGGTAACTTTGAGGAATTTTATGCAAGAGAATGAAACAAGTGGATTTGCATTTTAGGTAACTATCTGCAGTGTGAGATGGCCCTAAAGGAGCAATGGGTAAAAAGAACAAAAGGGTAATGTGCAGTTAGATCCTTGAAGTTTTATCCTTAACACAGTGTAAGAACCAGATGAATATTCTGTGAATGAAGTGATCAATGAATCAATCAGTAATTTGGTTCAGGATCGAAAATACAAGACTTCAGGCAGAGGATAAAGTTGTCTGTATGTATATAAGGGTCAGAGTGAAAGCTGATTGGAACACTGACATGTCTTCAAGTCTTGAATCTCATCAGACAAATGATAACAGTTGACAATGGAGTAAAGTGGAACAGAGTAGAAACAGCTTCAGTGTTGGAGTCAAAAGACCAAAGTCTGAGTCTTAGTTTTGATGTGTGCCTTAATTTATCTGACCATTGGGTTGTACATCTATCATGCCTATTCTTTACGTGCCACTGCATAGCTAGAATGGGAATGGTTATCACAATCTGTGTGCATTTCTGTTTTCAGGTGGTACGTAGGCACTGTGGGAAAACTGATGGCCCAGGGGAGTTTCTAAACCATCCACTGTAAAAATCGGTCAGTGAGTGAAACCTGTCTGACTGACGGTGGAATCGTGGTTTAGGTAGCAGGGGATTTAGAAATCAAGTAGCCAGTAAGTATTGCACAAAGTTTGGACAGGTGACTCTCTAACTTGTCCACTGGAGACCCTGGTGGAGAGGCTGGGAGAGGGGTAGGAAGGGCTCCTCTCCTGCTGCTGCCCCTAACGAGAGTACTGGGCACAGAAAGAGCAGAAACAGGTGGTATAGTTGAGGGTCACAGGGCTCAGTGAGGTAGCTTGGAGAACATACACAGGCAGTTAAGGACATAGTCTAGACTAGGACTCAGCTCCCTGAAGTTCAGTGCTCTTTTCACAACTCCACCTGGTCAAATTAATTATGTCAACTCAAGATCTTAGAAAGGACAACTTATGTAAGATTCAAGCCAAGAGGCCTTCTCATAAGTCTGTGGCTATAGCTACCAGCCAGGGCCAGATGACCTTATAGAACGAGAGGGCAAAGCAGGAATGCTGGCTGCAGGAGTGAGGCATTCCCCTGGATCCAGTTGTTTGGAAAGAAGAAGCCTTCATGAAGCATGGGGGTGGGACTATGTCGGTGGTGGCAGAGAAGTGCAGGATAAATTATAACGTACCTGAATCCAGAAATAATTTAAAAAGAATAAAGTAAGTGAAGAAAAAGCAGAAGGTGAAGAACTGCCCTGCAAGGAGGTTCTGGAAGAAGGGCCAGTGAACCAACTCGTCAGAAAGTACATCATACCACATAGTTTTAGGAAACACAGCAGGCCTGAGCTCCTTGGTACCCTCAGGAGATCCAAGTGAATAGGCAGAAAGTGACTGTGTTCTGTGAAATACTTCAGGCACCCAAATGCTCCTCTTTCCAGCACTTTTCATACCATCCCCCTCTCCTTCCCCTTAACACACTTACGCACTTACACCTTCTGGCCCACTCCAGGCTGAGTTTTGCTTCTTTTCTGCAGAAGAGTGTGACACTAGGGCAGTATTACTGAACTGAAGAAATGTATTAAAACAGCTTCTTTAAGAAACGTAATTTTTAGCTCACGGCCTTGAGTCCCATATCTCTAAATCATCTTCATCTTCTCGCTTTCCAGAAGCAGTATAAAGAGTCAGCTGTTCGGGTAGTTCACATAATTTGTATAAAGTAAAACTCAACTAAATTATTTTTTGGTTTCCTACATTCATAGAGTTAGCCCTCAAATGTTGGGTTAACTCTATGAATACAGAAAACCAAAAAATAATTTAGTCTCATCTGTCCCCCATAAAGAAGGCTCCAATAAATCAATTAGCCATAACAAAAAGACCACTTTCAGTTTTTCCTGGAAATTCCAAAGCAGATGGTATTAAAATCAAATTGGCTGTATAATTCATACTCTCCAGTGATCACTTAGATAGCTCAATTAAGGTTCACAGTCACAGGTATCTCTGACAATCTACATATCTATAATATCCACACACAAACATCTGGGGCAGACATCAGAGTCCCTCTATAAGACTGAAATCCATGTCTCCTGTGCTCTAATACATTTTACCATCCACACCGTTGAGTTGAGCTTTTTACTACAAATGGTTTTAGGCTCTGATGCAAGACAGGAATTTGAAACATGCATTGGAGTATTTAATGGTGTTAATTTTTGGTGCACACAAACATCAACTTCACTCAACAATCCAGTAATATTGCAAAAAAAATATGCCAGAGAAAGAAATACAGCAATGGAATTCTTCAGGATTGCAAGCAAAGCAGTTCCACTTTCCTGCTGATGCCAACAAGTAATAAAATAGCTCCTATTTACAGGTCCTTAAAGATGTTACAATCAATAAAGAAAATAAAAGGAAGAAGACAGGGTGCTTTCAGATCAAACAATTATTCTAACTTTTATATTCAAACATGTTTATTTACTTAAAGTCTTCGAATGTAACCCAAGTTAATTTTAAATGAACAACTGATTGTAACAAGGGAAATATAATCTGTGTGTGTGTGTCTGTGTGTTTGGTTTTGTTTCAATTGGATGATATAAATGTAAACAATTCCTACCTGGAAATATGGATGGTCTCTTCTTCGGGTGCCTCAGGTGAATGGGATCCAAGTTCTTAATGTTTCTTTGAAGTCTTCCTCTAATGTCATTTCCTATGAGTAGTTCAGGTGGCAGGCTACTCCGTCTTGATGATTTATAAGCATTTTGAGATGAATTTAGTTTGTTCTTCGGTCTGGAAAATAAATTGCTGTCATCAACCGCCATTGTCGGGGATACATTAGAGACTCTGAACAAAAATCCAAAAAGCCAAACCCAGTGGCAGCCACCGTCACAGCCACTGTTGCAGCTGCCACCGCCCCAGACTCTGATGTTCTCATGCTTTACCCTGCACTTGTTTGGGAAGCTTAACAAGTTGATAGGCGTGGATTTGAACAGGTGTAGAATTACTAAGTAGCCCCTCCTTTCTACAGTTAATAGCACAGGGGAGGAGAGATTCAAAAAAAAGAAAAAAAAAAAGCATTAGTTGCAGAAGACTGGGGAATTTGAACAGATGGGACTCAGAGTGGATGGTAACAAAAGTGGTGTAATGGTTGCTGCATGAAATTTCATCTTCATGGGTGCATAGAGCAAACACAGTTCACTATTAAAGAATAAATGCCTATGTAAATTTCAAGTCTAATTTGTTGTATCATTTCCCAAACTCTTAACAGATTTTAAACAGTTTTGGGGAAGCATTTTTACATTCCCTCATGCCTTTAAGTTTCAAACTATACACATAACACAGAATGAACATCTTTCTTTATTCAATGTCTTATTTGGCTGGCCACCAACTGGAAGTTGGCTGGAAGAGGGAGATGAGAGATGACTGGTGATGACCAGGAAGGAACCGGTTGTGGGCGTGTGTCAGGCAGCAGTGCCGGGAACCCGCTGTTGCTTGCCACCCACCCCTTCCATCCTGTGCTCCAGCTGGCAGATAGCTTCTCCAGAAGTTCCCACTGCCTGGCAGTGGAGTCAGAGGTCTAGAAAACAAGCCTTAGCCATAGAAGTAATGACAGGCCTCCACTCACAAATAAAAAGTCAATGTTATTATCCTTGCGTGGATTCTGCCTAGCTTTCAACTAAAATGGTCATTGGGTTTGGTGGTCTAAGAAAAACCAGCATTTCTTCACTCAAGATTCCTGCTTGTCCTGTCACCCAGTTTCTTTCTCTCTCTCTCTCTCTCTCTCTCTCTCTCCTGGATTTTGCATTTTTATGTCCTTTCCTGCCTTCCCTCTTGCTCTACGTATGTGGAAATGTTCTGCACTTTTTTCCTTAACTGACTGTGCAGAAATCATCACTCTATAATTCATCTTCCCCAGCCATGCCTCAGGGCTATGCCCATGTCCATCGGCAACCTCTCTCTGTCACATACACACAACACCCCTTTCGTGCTGTGTCTGGTTGCAATGTGAGAAGATGAGATTTGCCTTTTCTCTTCCCAGTGCCTGGAATCAACAGATATATAACATTATAAGGAATTTAGGGGTCATTTCGGAAATCATTGTTTATTTTGGTTTCCTAGATGCTAAATACGTTTTAATGTTTGTTGATATGTAGGAGCTGGTTCTTTTTATCAAATTGAGAATATACTTCCACACTAATACAAATTTTGTTCTCTTTATGCCCTTTCAGCAACAGATTTTCTGGAGAGAAAAGCATTTTTTTTTTTTTTTTACAAGTATTCCCAACTGAGAGTTGCCATTATAATCCAGCAATTATAATTATAATTATAATCCAGCATATTTATGTATTAGATTATTAAGTTATTTCACCAATTCTGAGAATCATCTGCACTACTTCCCTCCCAGGACCTAGAATAATTTAGTCAAGTTGAAATGTACCATGAACTTCAAAACAATGAGTAACTTTTATGAAACCATTTCTAAAAGCCCATGAGACTGCCTGAATCTCCCTTACCCTAATAACAATACATTTTTTTCTAGTAAGGAAATATAAAGTAAAAGCATTTTTAAAAGTTTGAGATAATGATATAATAGGAGGAAAAAACATACATTCCTGCAACCCTAACTTCAAGAACAGTGTTTAATTTTCAAATATAAAGCAAGATAGAATCCTAGGGCACAAAGGACTGGGTGCTAACGGGGAGAAATTCGGCAATCAAGAAAGCAGAAGCTCAAGCTCTTCGGTGACTGTGTCTTTCTCCATCACACTGGTATCACGGGGCCAAATAAGAGCGTGTATGAGATGAAACAGAAGTCTCTAAGGAAAGGCATTATTATCACACAGAGTGTACACCGGGCATGTCTGCATAGTGTGCCTTTGTCTTTAAGAGTCCAGCTGAAAACACAGAACAAAGTACATATGCATCTAGAATGCATTACAATAATAGCCATCATTTACTGCATGCTTAAAACTGGCCAGATTCTGTGCGAAGCCTTTGGCGTGGATTATCTCATTGATTCCTCCTAATCACCCTGTTTTATAGATGAAGATGCTGAGACACAGAGTCAAACACACAGGAATTAGAGGAGAGAAGATCTGAACACAGGTTTTATCTGACTCCAAAGTTCAAGTTCATGCCTTAAACTATACCACCATAACAATTGTTCAATGTGTATAATATCTAAAAGGAATTAAAAGTCTTTCTCTACTTTCCTAAAAACAATTATTGGTTTCAAGCAAATTCTCACTGCATCAACTGTGCGATTGAGGAGTGATCTGGCTCACTCAACTAGGTTTGCCCTGTGTAACAGTTGCCAGGAAGTCTTTGAAGTTCACAGAATGAAAGAGAAAAAGCAAGAAAATTCAAATTTTTGCCAGAGTATATAAGAAAGTGACTGCATTACTAATAAAGTATCCATGTTGAGGCTTTTTCACACTAAAATGCATTTTAGATAAAAGCATTATGTATTCCTGACATTTAAATTACGATTAGGAAAAAAAATCCTCTACCCTACTTCAGAGGTACATCAAGTCCTCTAAACCTCTAAAAATTAAATGACCTAAGAGAGGCAAGAGAAGTTCCTGATGTGTCCAACTTCATCTCTCTCCTGCCCAACTCATTTTCCCCTCATAAAGAATAGAAACAGATGGAGATCTAGCTCATTTAACACACTTCTTTAATGGAGAAAAGTGAGAACAACTTGACTTTTCTATTGTTAAAATATTAGAGCAATGTAAACAAGGAAGAATTTTTATTTATTCAAAAGTAGTATTAAACCTGTGAACATGAAAAAGTAAATCATTCTTTCAAAAGAGTTAAACTGGCTGCCACATGAATGATAATCAACCACAGAACATTTAGCGTGGTTTGTCTACATGAGAATATTTATAGATTACAACGTTAGGTCCATCTCTCCTTCTGTATAGCAACAGTCAAAGTGGAATTTTTTTTTTTCAAGTGGTCAGAAGAATGATGATACAGACTTTGGGCTAAGAGGAATTTCAAAACTTATAGTATAAATAAATAATTTTAAATACATAAATGGACATTTTCTGTTTTAATGACCATTATTATCATTATCATCATTATTTTTGAGACAGGGTCTCTATCTGTCACCCAGGCTGGAGTGCAGTGACAGCACTCATGGCTCACTGCAGCCTCCACCTCCCAGGCTCAAGCAAACCCCCCACCTCAGCCATCTGAGCAGCTGGGACTACAGGTGTGCACCACCATGCCCAGCTATTTTTTATATTTTTTGTAGAGATGGAGTTTCACCATGTTGCCCAGGCTGGCCTTGAACTGCTGGGCTCAAGTGATCCTCCTGCCTCGGCCTCTCAAAGTTCTGGGATTACAGGTACAAGCCACTATGCCTGGCTGACTATTATGTTTTTAAAGGTCTCTATTCCCCTATAAATCCAGTACATTAATCTCTTTTGAATTATTTTATTATCCTTCGAGAAGTTGTGTAATTTATATTAAACGATGTTACAGTATCATGGAAATTTTATTCTTTCTGGTAATAAGACTTTAATCTTCTTTCCCTCAGATTGTTCAAACAGTCTGTAGAAAGACATTTCCTCACTTTGTAGCCATGCTTTCCTTGTGGATTTTGGTAGCTTTTTTTCTGTAGAGATGGGGGTTGCCTAGGCTGGTCTTGAACTCCTGACCTCAAGTGATCTTCCTGCCTTGGCCTCCTAAAAGGCTGAGATTACAGGCATGAGCCACTGTGTCCAGCCCTATTGGCAGCTTTTAAATAGAACTGCTGAATTATTTTGCTTGTTGTGAGATAGCTGTAATTATATTGAGAACAACATAATTTTACAACTGTAACCATTTTTCTCATTGTCACCTCCATAGAAATGGTCCGCCAAGAAGATTTCAGGCCTGTATGGATTTACCAAATTAATTCTCAAATCTCAAGCTGAACCAGCTATACTGCGTATCCTGCAAACATTTCTTATTTTTGAACTCTATTCAGTTTTCAACTGAGATGACCTACTAATCAGTGGGTTTGCCACTAGGAAAAAACAACAGTATAGAATATCGGAATGATGGATATCACCAAGTCAAACAGGTCAATTGATTTCTCCCTCCAAAAGGTCACCAGTCACCTCTTGTTGCCAACACATCTTCGCTCAATATGGGTAATGATGTTTGCAGTATTACCTGTGGTGTGATTACGGCTGAGGAAATCTTTTCTCAGATCCTAAAAATACAACGTGGATGTTCAGTATCTCATTGGCTCTCAATAGCAATGAACACTAATGACCAGTCTTCCCCTGTTACAATTCTCTGCTCCCTTGGCTTCCATGACACTATTACTTCTCATTTGTCTTCCTATGTCTCAGGTCCCTTCTGCTCAGATTCTTCAGGGTCTCCTCAAAGAGTCTATTTTCCTCCCTCCCTCTCTTTGGCAGGCCCATTTACTGAATACCTGTTATGCATTTGGCATGATGCTATGTTCAAGATCTCTACTCTTCAGAATCTTTTCATCTAAAAAAGGAGCAGAACAACAATACACAAATTATTGCAATACAGACTGACTGCTCTGTGCAGAGGTGACACAAAAAAGTACTTCCGTCTTCTCTTCCTGATGGAGAGAGGGGATGGGAAAGGGTTCTCAGACGAGAAGTAGTAAGTTCACAAGGTAGATGAGTGGACTCTGGGCAAAGGCACTCAGGTGTGACATTAGCACCCAATGTCCGCAGAACGACAAATACAGCAATCCTGTGCCTAACACAGGACCTTACCTCATGCAGAAGTATGGACAGTGGAAAAACAAGATGGGA